TAAAATAGTACTTTTAGGATAACATATACTTGATAGACTTATAATCATCAATAAAAATTTATACAATAAATTATTAACAAATTCAAAACAGTTCAATAATATTTATAAAATAAAAATTAATTTTACTATTATTGTCTAATATGATAATAAATTAAATTAACATATTTTTAAAACAAAACAAAACAAAAATATATATATGATCATTTTGATTGTTAAATCAATTATAATATGTTATTATAAATTAATTATTAAATCGCATACATTGTATACTTAGAGTATATTAATTAAAAATCTATTTATTTTAAATTAATTACAATTATTGAATTGAATTTTGTTTAATTGATTTATCGGATCATATAATATTAATTTTCAAAATATATAAATCAGTATTTATTTCACTATTATTTATGAAAAACTAATGATTTACAGTTTTTATGATAAAATAAAAATATCAATATTAGTATTATTGAATAATTGGTTTATTAATAAATTATTAATAATAATTATATTGATTATTATAATAATAATTAGAGAGAGAGAGAGAGAGAGAGTCTGAAAAAAACTTTTGGCTATTGAGTATTAACTCTAAGATAATTATAATTAAATTTATAAATACTAATAAAAATAATGTTTTTAGCAAAATAAATAAAATATGATAAATATTTGGTTTATTTCTAACTATAAAAACAATAATCTTGATATTAATAAATAAATTTGTTGTTTAAATTTTTATAAATTATTTTTTTTTTAATTTTAATTTAAAGATAAATTAATTTATACATAAGTAAATTAATCTAGTTGAAAATTAATTAATTTAGCAAAATTAATTAAAGTTTAAATTCCGAAGTCGACTATATAGTATATATTATTAATTTTAATATATATCAATAAATGTTGAAAAAACTAATAAATTACAGCTTTTTTGTTTAAATTATTAAAAAATGTTTTAATATATAAATATATAATGTTTTTTACTAAATGCATTGTTAATATGTAATAATACAAAAAATTATTTTTAATTATAATGTTTTACTATAATATTATAGTATTTAACAATTCATACTCAGATAGTTGCATAAAAATCAATTAATAATAATTATATATATATATATATAAATAAAGTGATCATTATCAAATCAATAGTTTTTAATTTTTTATTAAATTGCTAGTTTGATACATATTTAATAAACCCTAACCACAACAATAATTAATAGGAAAATTTCTAATAGATTTAACTATTGATTTTTCGGATCACCTTATATTTTAATTTACAAAAATATTAATATAATAAATAAATATATTTTTTCATTTATTGTAAATTACAGTTTATAAAAAAACTTATATAAGTAATAAACTAAAAACTATTTAAACACAAATTATATTTTTATTTATAATTTTTTTTGTTAGGCATGTGTATTTTTAAATACACAATATACAAATTTTTTTTAGTAAATCACTACATACTAAAATTTAGTTTAAAAAATATATTATTAAAAAAATTGTATTATTACAATTAATATTGAATATTATTGTATGTCAATAATCTCAACTTTAAAAAACTAAACAATAAATTAAATTAAACTTACAAAAATATATATATAATTAATTTGATTTTTAAATCAATTATCAAATTTAGAAATATTTTTTAATATTTTTTTTAATTGATTTTTCGGATCATATATTGATTTTATAAATAATATAAATTACTATGATAATAAAACTAAAATAATATTGTTGTATTTATATTACTAAAAATTATTTTTAATTATCAATTATACCGTTAATAACGATAATAAATTTGTTGACAACTACTTATTAGAGATAATTTTAAGTAACTATTACTTAATAATTTTAATAAATAATTTAATAACATTTTTTTTATAATTTACTATATTTTAAGATAGGCTGAAAAAATTAAATTTAAGCTTTACTATAAAAAAATAACAAATTTGTTTTTAAATTGAATTTTTATTTTATTTTTTTAAAAAAGTTTATTAAAATTTAATTGATAAAAAAATTGATAATCATGTACACATCAATAGTAATTTTTTTTTATTTATAATTGTATAATTTTTATAACTATTGATTAATAGGATCATCTTAACTAATTTTTTTTAATAAGATTAATATACTTATCATATATTTTTAATTTTAATTATAAATAACAGTTTGTAATAAATGCACATTTATTTCATAAAATTACTTGTAATTTATGATTGATTTTTTAAAAAAATTAACCAATTTAATTTGAAGCTTTAACAAAAAAATTATTTATTGAGTTTATTATTACAAATATCATCGATAATTTTAATTATAATTTAACAATTAATTAATTAATTATACTAACAAATAATAATATAAAAAACTAATTGTATTTATATTTTATTTATTTTCTACAATTATTATTATTATATTGCTATTCAATATAAAGTTTTAACAAAAATATAAATACAATACTACATTAAGTGATATTAATATATATATAAACTACTGTATAATAGGTTGACCACTGTATAAATATATGGTGATGTGGACAGGTATTTAAATATTGTTTGATTTTTTGTTTGTTGTTTAACTATAACGTACTACAGTAGCGACAATCCATTTGACGACATTTGATATCCTTGCACCTGACATTTTGGCCAATCGGTTGTCATCACTACACATACTGTTTCCTTCCAATGTAATGGTAGACGTTACGGCAACGAGCACTGCCCTACCATCGATATACTGAAACCATGGACCACCAGAATCTCCCTATATATTGTTGTTGTAGTTGTTTTTTAGTATAATAATCAACTATAACTAATACTCACTCATACATATCACACATACTCACCCATCTCTCTCTCTCTCTTTCTTTCTCTCTCTCTCTCTCTCTCTCTCTCTCTCTCTCTCTCTCTCTCTCTCTCTCTCTCTCTCTCTCTCTCTCTCTCTCTCTCTCTCTCTCTCTCTCTCTCTCTCTCTCTCTCTATATATATATATATATATATATATATATATATATATATATATATATATATATATATATATATATATGTGTGTGTGTGTGTGTGTGGGTGGAAGAATTAGGGAAAGAGAGAAAAAGAGAGATACCTGAACCCTACCTTACAAAGTAATGGTGTAAGAGCACCGGCATTTCTATACGAATAGATACGGGAACTGTTTTCTGGTTTACCACTATGACTATAGACTTTTTCAATTTCCAACCAACCCATATGCAACTGTCCAGTGTTTGACTGGCCTTCCTTTAGCGGTCCAAAACCGGCTATCAATGCCAACTCGTTTTCGTGATTAATCAAACCCCTGCCCGGCAAAGATATAGCATTCAATGGCCGATAGACATGCTCTGGATCGGTGGTGTCGGTGCCAGTGGGTAACTGTACTTCAGTTGATAATTTCATTACTGCAATATCGTTGATGTTTTTCGTGAAATCATAGTCTGGATGGGTATAGTAATTGTCTACTCTATAATAATCATTCATTTGTTTCAGATTTTGGAGACCAACGTATATGTAAAACCATTGGACGTCGCGACGAGAATAGTCCTCATAGCTAATTGGATGAGAGGGGACCGGGGAGGTCAGGGATGAAAACAGCGGGGTGTGGATAGGGGGGAGGGGGGAGTTATTACATCCAATTGTTTATATACTGTACATTATATATTAAATATATAATACATATTTGTTATTTTAGGATTGATTTTTTTTCATTGTTTGTATAAATAATTTTGTTGACTTACAGTAGACAGTGAGCTGCGGTTATTATCCATCGACTATTGAGTAGTACACCATTACATGAACTGATTGATTGGTTTCGGGTTGGTTTCGGTTTAAGTGGTTAGGGTCCAAAAAATAGTAGAGAGTAGTGTAATATATTGTGAAATAAACAAAAAAATCGTATTGACCTCAACTAATACCTCCTTTTCCCGATACCATATATAGCCGAATAGTATATATATACCATCCATGGTACTTCACCCGGTTCCGATTCCCTACCCATATGTATGGCATCGCTAGCTTTGCCATAATGATAACATTTTGGTCGATTCATACGAAACGATTCCCGACCCAAACCGCACTCATTGGTTGTAACATCTGGATAGTGACGGATATGTAAGTGTCCATCGGTGACGACATTTCCAATGAAAATACTGGTCAACACTACTATTAGTTGTATTAATAATATTAACATATTTGAAATATTATGAATATTAAAATTTTGAATAAAATAAAATGATATTTGAATTAATTTTTTTTGAATCACTTTTTCTCTATAAAAAATATTTTACTCTATTTGTTTTATTAATTAATTAATTTATTGTAATACTGTACTTATATGTAATATTAAATTATTATTTTTTTTTATAAAATAATACAATTATATTATTAATTTAAAATTAATTTTAATTATCTTAGTGTATCATATTAATCAAATACCAAATATGATAATATAATATATAGGTAAATATATTAATATTAAAAATTATAGTAAATATTTGTATTATATTACATTAGATGACATTAATTTTTTAAAAAATTATTTAATATCAGATATTGTTTCAAATATTTTTTTTTAAAATTTATGTAATAATAGTACAATAATATAATTATAATAATAATAATAATAATAATTATAAATTAATAAAAAATACTATAATTGTTTTTATACATGAAAAATATAAGACTTTATGAATTAACTATTAATTTTTTTATTAATTTTAAATTAACTGTTTCATAAATATACAAATATTTATTTTTTACTAAAAATTAATACAACAAAAAAACCTTTTTGTATTTTATATTTATTTAATTTCTATAATTATATTTTAGAAAATATATATATTATTTTTTTATTATATTAATATTGAAGTTAATATCTATTTGATACAATACTATTGAATGCCATCAAAAAAAAATAAAAATAAAAACTATTATATAATAGATTGAACACATATGCTGTGGACAGGTATTTAAATACTGTTTGATTTAAAAAAAAAATTAATAATGTGTTACAATATACTCGATCCAGTCCATCACATAGGATATCCTTGCACCTGACATTTTGGCTAATCGGTTGTCATCACTACACATAGAGTTTCCATACAACGTAATGGTAGACGTTACGGCAACCAGCACTGCCCTACCATTGATATACTGAAACCATGGACCACCAGAATCTCCCTATATATTGTTTTTGTTACTTTATTATGTGTATGTGTATGTGTATGTGTATGTGTATGTGTATGTGTATGTGTATGTGTATGTGTATGTGTATGTGTATGTGTATGTGTATGTGTATGTGTATGTGTATGTGTATGTGTATGTGTATGTGTATGTGTATGTGTATGTGTATGTGTATGTGTATGTGTATGTGTATGTGTATGTGTATGTGTATGTGTATGTGTATGTGTATGTGTATGTGTATGTGTATGTGTATGTGTATGTGTATGTGTATGTGTATGTGTATGTGTATGTGTATGTGTATGTGTATGTGTATGTGTATGTGTATGTGTATGTGTATGTGTATGTGTATGTGTATGTGTATGTGTATGTGTATGTGTATGTGTATGTGTATGTGTATGTGTATGTGTATGTGTATGTGTATGTGTATGTGTATGTGTATGTGTATGTGTATGTGTATGTGTATGTGTATGTGTATGTGTATGTGTATGTGTATGTGTATGTGTATGTGTATGTGTATGTGTATGTGTATGTGTATGTGTATGTGTATGTGTATGTGTATGTGTATGTGTATGTGTATCTGAACCTTACCTTACAGAGTAATGGTGAAAGAGCGCCGGCATTTCTATACGAATAGATACGCGAACTGTTTTCTGGTTTTCCACTATGATTATACACTTTTTCAATATCCAACCAACCCATATGCAACTGTCCATTGTTTTTCTCGCCCTCTTTTAACGGTCCAAAACCGGCTATCAATGCCAACTCGTTTTTAAAATTAAACAAACCCGCGTCCGGCATACAGATAGCATTAAATGATCGATAAACATGATCTGGATCAGTGGTGTCGGTGCCAGTGGGTAACTGTACTTCTGTTGATAATTTCATTAATGCAATATCGTTGATGTTTTTCTTGAAATTATATTTTGGATGTGTATAGTAATGGTCTACTCTGTAATAATCATCCATTTGTTTCAGATTTTGGAGACCAACATAAATGTAAAACCATTGGACGTCGCGACGAGAATGGTCCTCATAGCTAATTGATAAGAGGGGGGACAGGGTGGTTAGGGATGAAAACAGCGGGTGTATGTGGGGAATAGGGAGTTAGAACATGCAATTGTTTATAAACATGTTTGTTATTTTAGGATTGATTTTTTTATCATTTGTATTAATAATTTTTGACTTACAGTAGACAGTGAGCTGCGGTTATTATCCATCGACTATTGAGTAGTACACCATTACATGAACTGATTGATTGGTTTCGGGTTGGTTTCGGGTTAAGTGGTTAATTAAAAAAATAGATAGTTTTATAATGTTAACTAATAATTAATATACTGTATATAAATTATACTGTTAAAACTAAACTAAACAAACAACATAAGCACACACATACATACATACATACACATACGGCAGCCAAATGAGTTATTAAATTTGCTGGGGTTAAAACTAATGTAAATTATTATTTTTGAAATATACTTATTTACATATAATACTATTCCCAATAAACCCGTCCAGGGTACAACCATTATACGGAACACTGGCATATATATACACACACATACATACATACATACATACACACATACATACACACACGAACATACACACACACATACTATGCTGTAATTTACCTTTTATTTAGGAATGGTAGATAAATAACTATACCTTTGTGTACCTATTCCATATATAGCCGAATATTTGATATATACCATCCATGGTACTTCACCCGGTTCCGATTCCCTGCCCATATGTATTGAATCTCCAGCTTTGCCGTAATGAAAACAATTTGGTCGAGTCATACGTAACGATTCCCGACCCAAACCACACTCATTGGTTGTCACTCCTGGATATTGACGGATACGCAGGTGTCCATCGGTGCCGACATTGTCAATGAAAATACTGGTCAACACTACTGTTAGTTGTATTAATAATATTAACATATTATTAATATTATGAATATTTAAAATTATGAATAAAATAATATTTGAATTAATTTTTTTGAATCACTTTCTATTTATAAAATCTATTATAGTCTCTACTATTTTAATTGATTAATTAATTTTGTTATTGTTATACTTATATGTAGAATTAAATTATTAAAAAAAATAAAATAATACAATATTTGTATTATTTTTTTATTGTAAGAAATTACTCAAATAACAAATATGATAATGTAATATATATAGGTAAATATATCACTATTAAAAAATAACAGTAAATATCTATATTATATTACATTAGATTAAATTAATAAAAAATATTTTAACATTTTGCAAAAGTTTTATGTGATATAATAATATAAGTTAGTTATAATAATAATAATAATAACTATAAGTTAATTAAAAAAAATATCATTGTTTTTATATATGTAAAATATAAGACATTTTATATAAATATATCTATTTTAAAAAAACAATAAATTTTATTAAAATACAATATTTGGTATAAAAATAAAATTGCATATTAGTAATAATTATACAATAAAATAAATAAACTGTAATTTATTTAAAAAATAATATAAATATTTTATTAAATACTTATTAAAATAATATAATTAGATAAATGTCGAAAAAAATAATAAATGAAAAAATGAAAAATTTTATTTATAATAATTTTTTTAAAACAAATAAACTAACAATATATGTATTTTATAAATCATGTTATTTATTATTAACAATATAATTGCAAATTTTGTAATTAATTAATTAAATAATATTAATGTATATATATAATTTAGATATTTAGCATGCTAGTTTTTTTTCAATCAAAAAACGTTGTCAATACGTTTTTATAAGGTATAGGCGCTTAAAAGGCGACAGTGAACTGACCTTAAAATCATAGACCCTCTCTCCTCTCTCTCTCTCTCTCTCTCTCTCTCTCTCTCTCTCTCTCTTTTTCTTACTATAACTCAATCATCCCTTTCCTTTAAGAAATGAAACAATCGGTATATAAACTGTATATTAAGTATCATATTATATACACACACAGTATTATAAAAGTAGTAACAAATAATTAATAATCAAAAAATAAATAAATAAAATATTTTATTGTATTAGTATATCAATGATATCATATAAAATAATATATATTCCCTATATATATATATAAACTTTGTGTGTGTGTGTGTGTGCCGTAAATAATCAAATGATATCTCCCTGAGCCCAGTACACACTGAGGCCCAGTTGTCAAACGGCTTATGCAATATTTATCAATGAAGTCGATAATGTATATACTATACAGTGATATCATAGTTAAATTGATATTTATTAACAACACAAACATAGTATCGTCACAGATATATATTATATGTAAAAGTTTTGTAAATAATTTTTTTGATTTTATTTTTGTTGAGTAAAACTAAACTTTTTTTTTATGATGATATGATTGACTTTACTGTATACTACTATACCATTTGGTTTACCATTGGTTTAGTTAAACCAGAATATTTTGTACCTATAATTTGTATGATATTATACAAAAAAAAAACATTGAATAAAGTGAAATAGAGAGGGAGATAGTCTGTACTCACAGATAGGACTGTCCCATAATATTAAGACAAGTGTGTTAGTGTATATATGTGCAAAGTGTATGGTATCTTATGTATACTGATATAGACAGCCTGTTAGTTGGTTACTGCCAGTCGTAAGGTACACACATACACACACACACAGGTGTTTAACACAAGTGTATAGAAGGGACAGTAAGATAGAGAGCACAAGTAGTTGCTCTCCACTGTTTCTCTCTCTCTCTCTCATAACAAGTGTCTACTAAATTTACTTATGATTTTTGTGTGGTTGTATTATAATATTGTTGATGCAATTATTTGATTTTTATTTATACAACAAAAATTATTATTATTATTATTATACATAGTTAATTTAATTAATAACATTTAGGTTCAATTTAGTTTATTTAATTATTGTACTAGTTAATTTTGTTTTTTTAAAAAAGTCAACTATCACCAAGTTATAATTTATATACCTATCCCAGTATAAATTCGTAAATATTGCGTATACCAAAAATACTTGTGCCCGCTCAGTTACCTCAACCAAAAAAAAAATTGTTTTTCTAGATACAAGTGCTCAAAATATACTACTAGTGTTGAGTTTAATAAATTAATTTCATCATTATCATCATCATATAAATTAAATTATTTTTTTGTATGAATACTAAAATTAATTGCTACTAACTATTGAGTGATTGAATTTTTTTTAACTATTATTATATTAAAACTGAAACAACTATAATATTAAAGTGTAAGTAAAAATCAAATTAAATTATTTAATTAATTAATAGAAAGTATAGAATATAGTATGTAATGAAATCATTTTTATTTATTTATTTAAAAATTTAAAACAAAAATATATTTAATTATTTGATTATAATTAGTATAATTATAATATTAATAATAGTAATAATTAGAAAATTTATTTTCATTATAAATTGTATTTTTATTTTATATATAATTTATTATACAATAGTTATCAAACAGTATATATATAACGGGAAAACAATGGCCAACAACAACAATAATCTGACCACTCATGTCCGTAGTCATCGGTATCAATCAAATGTGGCTATCGATAGCTATTTGGTTAGACAACGGGAAACCGCAGATCAAAACAACGATATAGTGACTGTACGACAGTCGCCGGTATCGCGCAAATCATCGACCAGTTCACTGCCACCGCCGGAAACTGTGGCCAGAATGGCTGTTAGACAGTCGACTTCGCCGGTCGTCGTCAACCGCATAGATGACGAAGTGGACAGCAGTGATGGACACGAGCGCTGCATAACACCGGCTCCGGCCAACAACACTGATCCCATAAACTGTTGCATATGTTTTGCTCCGGTAGTCAACGGTTTTCGGTGCACAACAGTAGCCGAACGTATGGCTGGACCGCCGTTGGCTGCAGCGGTCAACGATTACTATGTGCCCGACTATCAACAGGTCCACCATTTTGCCTGCTATCGGTGCATAGCACGCAATATGGTTGCCCGTAATCGGCCAGTAGTCAACTGTCCAGTTGGCTGTGTCAACGAATTCAATGTCCAGCGTCTGGTGCCGATGAACCTCAAACATACAATGATGACCGACAAACTGTTTATCTATTGCGAAAACAATTGCGGACTGGGCGGCAGTCCACTGGCTCTGGCCAATCATCTGTGTCCGCTGGCACCTGTCGATGATATTGGCCATACCTACAGATCAACAGAGTTGCAACGTTTGCACACTGAACTACAAGAGCTAATCGCTAGCAAACAGTTGGTCGAGCACGAGCTTCGGCACGTGTTACGCAACTATAACGTCAAACGTAGCGAAAATCACGCGCTCTATGCCAACAATCAGCTGCTTATGGATCAAAACAAGAGCCTGTTTGAACAGATCAACTATCTCTATCAACAACTCAGTCAACTGGAGTACCAGATGCTGGCACTGAGGGCTCAGTCGGACACAATGAGACAACAGTTTAATCGCGAAGGCCGGGCCTATCGAAAGCATTTGAAACAATTGGCCAAACAGTCGGATGTGAGACAACAGGAGCTAAAAGTCAAGATCGACGAACTTCGCAAACAAAAGTCACGATTGATACACGAGTTTCGTTTGGTATTGAATAGAGATAACCCATTGTTTCCGATTGATGTCCAACTGTCGGCCGATAACCAAATGGATAGTTCGGAGGACAGTAGTCCCGATTGTAGTGTCGATATTCAACAAATATTTGCCTCTAATAATAATAATAATAACCAACAACTTGTGCCAAACACTGCCAATGATGATATGCTGGTCAACAATACTGACGGGTTGTCCGACCCGTCAGAACTGCCATTCCTTGAGTTTCTTCAAACATTTGCCAATTATTTCTAGTTTTTTTTGTTTGTTTGTTTAATATTAACAAACAAATAATTATTATAAAAATTATGAATTTTTAATTATATAATACTGTAAATAATAATTTAATTATGAGTTATCCATAGTAATCATTATACATTAATTATGATATAAAAACATATGAATTAAAATAAAAATTTAAAATTATAAAAATATATACAATATATCTAATCATAAATACAAAAAAAACTTATAAAATTATCTAAAAATTGCCAAAAAAATATAAGATATTTCAAAAGTTTTTATTGTATTAAATAATATTGTTTAAAATAATTATAATTATGTTTTTAATGTACATATAATAATAAACTTAAAATTTTAATTCTAAATAAATATATATTATCTAAAAAATATAATAATAAATTATTATCATATATTAAATTTCACTCAATATTATTTAGTAAACTATATATACTGTATATTAATTAAGAGAGAGAGAGAGAGAGAGAGAGAGAAATGTCTTATGGCTTATGTAATAGTTTATCATATTATCGATGAATATATTAACAGTTAAGTGAATACCGTATAATATTATATGTTATTATACAGTAAATACCTTTACAATGATATCACACTTGAAATGAAATGCTGTCTGTTATATAGATATGCATTGTATTAAAGTGTTATATTTAACTTATATACGATAAAAAACTATTATGAGGTGACTATACCAGAGTTCACACTTGTTAACCAGGATATACCTATATATATATTGTATATATACATAAATATAGTGAAATAGAGAGGGGGATAGCTCAGATAGGACTGTCCCCATAGTATGATGCCAAGTGTGTGTATGTATGTATGTGATATCAGTAAGGCATAATATAGACGACACCAGTATTTGATTGCCAATCGTAAGGTACACATTATATACAGTATTACATACAAACATACAGTACATACACACTCGCACAGGTTCTTAAAAAAATCTATAGAAGGGACAGTTAGAGAGAGCACAAGTAGCTCTCCTATGTTTCTCTCATATTTAACAAGTGTGTCTCAAAACTGTGATTTTTTTAAATTCATTATATTATACAGTATTGCGTTTGTTTTATTTAAAACAACACAAATATATTTTAATTTATTAATATATTAATATACCGTATAATTAATTTAAGATTAATAACTACAAAAACATAATTGCTCAATTTAATATTTATATGTTAAAAATAAAATTATTGTACTAGTTAATTTTCACCAAGTTTTATACCTGTACCTTTAATTATTTCGAAAATATTGCGTATACCAAAAAGTGTCCGAGATCAATTACCTCAAAATTCCAAAAAAAATATATTGTGCTTAATATATTAATAATTTATATTAATTTCATCAATCATTATATAAGTTAAATGACTTATAAGTAATTTCTAGTACTAACTATTGTGTGATTATTAATTTATTTAATAAAATTTATTAACAATTTAATAATACTTGTATACAACTGTAATATTTAAAAAAATGTAAGTAACTATTTATTAATAATAAACTATTTATCTGTTTTAATAGATACAATAACATTGATAATTATAATGATGTCATTTTTTTTATTTATTTATTTAAACATATAATAACAATATTATTATCATTATTATATATATATATATATAATTATTTGATTAGTAATTTTATTTGTATTTAAATATATTGTATTTATTTGACATATTATTATTTTAGAATAGATATCAATCAGTTTTTTTTAAATAACAATTATATATTAATTTAATAAATATATAGTTAATTTAATTAATAACTAATAACTACAAACAACATAATTTAGTTTATTTTAAATTTTCAAAATAAAAATTATTTTCTAAATATACCAAATATGCTAAGTGTCGGCTAAATTACATCAAAAAAATTTATAAAAGTACATAAAAATATATTTTAAATTTTCAAATAGATTTAATTATATCATAATATAAATTAATTGACTTATTAATAGTACTGCTAAACTATTTAGTAATCAATTAATTTATTGAATTTAGAAAATTTTTGGGTTTTTTTTGCTATTTTTATGTTTGTTTAAAAAATACATTTTTATCAATCAAAGTAAAAAATTATTGTTATCTAAATAAACTATTATTATTAATTTATTAGGTAATGTAGAAAATTTTATTTTAAAAAATTGTTTATTTTTATTTACAGTAATTAATAACAAAATTGATAATTATATGATTAGTAATTTAATTTTCATTATATTAATATATCTTATATCCGATTAATTTAATTGTATTTAATATATTTATTTTTTCAATAGTATCAATCAGTATATATAAAGTATATAACATGAATATAATGGCCAACAACAACAACAACACCAATCTGACCACTCATTTCCGTAGTCATCAGTATCGGTCAAATATAGCCATCGATAGCTATTTGGTTAGACAACGGGAAACGGCCGATCAAAACAACGACATAGTGACTGTACGACAGTCGCCGGTATCGCACAGATCATCGGCCAGTTTACAGCTGTCGTCTGAAAATCTGGTCAAACTGGCTGCCAGGCAGTCGGGTTCGCCGGTCGTCAACAACAATGATAAAGTTGACAGCAGTGATGGACACGAACGTTGTATAACACCGGCTCCGGCCAACAACACTGATCCCATAAACTGTTGCATCTGTTTAGGTCCGGTAGTCAACGGTTTTCGGTGCACAACACAAGCAGAGGGTAAGGTAGCGGCGGCGGCAGTCAACGATTATTTTGTGCCCGACTATCAACATGTGCACCATTTTGCCTGCTATCGGTGCATAGCATATAATATGGTTGCCCGCAATCGGCCAATAATCAACTGTCCAATCGGCTGTGTCAACGAATTCAATGTCCAGCGTCTGGTGCCGATGAATCTGAAGTACACAATGATGACCGACAAACTGTTTATCTATTGCCAAAACAACTGCGGATTGGGCGGCAGTCCACTAGCACTGGCCAATCACATCTGCCCACTGGCACCGGCCAACGATATTGGTCACACCTACAAGACTACAGAGTTGCAACGTTTACGCACTGAACTCCCTAAGCTAATGGCCAGCAAACAGTTGGTCGAGCACGAGCTTCGGCACGTGTTGCGCAACTATAATGTCAAGAGCAACGAAAATCAGGCGCTCTATGCCAACAATCGGCTGCTTATGGATCAAAACAAAAGCCTGTTTGAACAGATCAACTATCTCTACCAACAACTCAGTCAACTGGAGTACCAGATGCTGGTACTGAAGGCTCAGTCGGACACTATTAGGCAACAATTTAATCGCGAAGGCCGGGCCTATCGCAAGCATTTGAAACAATTGGCCAAACAGTCGGATGTGAGACAGCAGGAGCTGAAAGTCAAGATCGACGAACTCAGGGAACAAAAGTCACGATTGATAGACGAATTTCGTTTGGTATTGAATAGAGATAACCCATTGTTTCCGATTGATGTCCAACAGGCCGATAGTCTATTGAATAGTGTAGAGGACAGTAGTCCCGATTGTAGTGTCGATATTCAACTAATATTTGCCTCGAATACCGATATAAACGACGCTCAACATAATAATAGTCAACTACTAGTGCCAAATGCCACTGTCAATGATATGCTGGTCAACAATACTGACGGATTGTCCGACCCGTTAGAACTGCCATTCCTTGAGTTTCTTCAAACATTTGCCAATTATTTCTAGTTTTCTATTTAAATATAAAGACAAATAATAATTATCATACGAATTATGAATTTTATTTTTTTTAAATGTATACTCACTAATCATTAATTATAGTAATAAAAAAACATATTAATTAAATTAAAAATCTATATATTTAATCATAATTATAAAAAATTTTAATATTATCATAAATAATTTTTTTCTATATTAAATAATAATATATTTTTTAATGTATATAAACTGATAAATATATTTTAATGCTACTAAATAATAAAACTAATAAAACTAAATAAATTAATAAAAAATTATTTAAAAAAATATTTTCATATATGAAAAAATTCATTTCAATATTTATTATTGTTTTTAATAATATTGTATGTATTTAATGTTAAATATTATTGTATAATTATACTAAGATCCCTGAGCCCAATACACTAATAAATTGGATTGATTTTTTTTGTTTAATTAGAGAGTTTTCTTATGATTTATGTATTAGTTTTTATGATATTATCAATGAATACATTAATAGTAAAGTGAATATCGTATGATATGTTATGTTATTATTGAATACTTTTACAGTGATATCACACTTGAAATAAATATCACACACACACACATATATATATATATATATGATATATATAACAATAAGCATTAATGTCGTCACAATATATATATATATATTTATATATAAAAAAAAAATTTATACAATGACTATACCATTGGTTACTTTACCAGAAACCAGTCAGTTAACCAGGATATACCTAAATATATATACAGTATATACTGTATACTAACATAACAAGAGAGTAAGCTAGAGATAGAGAGAAAGAGAGGAAAAAAGTCTATCGCATATAGGACTGTCCCATATTGTTATGTAAGTGTTTGTAATACATATGTACTGAACAAACTACTGTAATAGAAACCCAGTTAGTTGTTGTTTGACTATTGAATCGTTAAGTACACTATCAGATACTGCTTTAAACAACTGTATATATTATAGAAGGGACAGTAAGATAGAGAGCACAAGTAGCAGCTCTCCTCTGTTTCTCTAATGTTGTATCAATTTTTGTGTTGAAAATTTTTGTGATTTTGTTTTGTTTTTTTTGTTTGTATTTTTGTCATTGATTTGTGTTGTGTTGTAAAACTATTGATGCAATTATTTTAAACTACAGTATATATATACAACTAATTTATTATAGAAGGGACAGTAAGATAGAGAGCACAAGTACTATAAAATAGCAGTAGTATTAGACTCTCCTCTGTTTCTCTCAGGTCGTCTCAATTTGTGTTGAAATTTTCTGTGATTTTTGTTGTTATTGTTTTTGTCATTGATT